TTCGATTCATTAATCACTTTTCATCAGCATTGCCCATTGATTTTTTTTGCCAATAAATTCAAACACACTATTGAGTTGTTTTGTCATGAACAATTGAAGAGAGAATAGTTTTTATTGGAAAAGTATATTGGAAATCATTTCGAGAAAAATTTCACTATTGAGTGTTGGGTGAAAGTGTCTTCATAGCTGAAGTGAATATCGTTAGATATGAACACTGCAGTAGTTCAAAAAAAGTTGAAGCGTGAAAATTTATTGTTGCTGCATTTGTTCCATCCATATTTTATTTTTATACTAGCTAACCCTGCGCACTTCGTTCCGCCTGAAAGGCAATAAAAAAGCACACTTTTGATTTTATTATTTTAATTTTTTTATCATTCATGTATTTCAGTTATTCTGGCGATTCTGGTTATTCTGGTCATGGCGAATGCAAAACTAATTGGAAATTTAAGTCTTTTAAGCTCAAACGGCATACCGATTGGGATCATCGGGATCCTTGGAATGAGAACTTCCTCACGTTCGAATTTTCCTTTGAGTATTGTCGCGTGAATCACATTGTTCATCAATTTACTTACCACCAAACGTGTACCGTTGCAAAGTTTTGGTGAGTTTATGTTTCGAAGCATGAGTACTACGGAGCCAACCTTCAGGCGTAAATTGTGCGGTGGTAAGCCAGGCACATCCAAGGAGTTTAAAAATTNCGTAAATCACATTGTTCATCAATTTACTTACCACCAAACGTGTACCGTTGCAAAGTTTTGGTGAGTTTATGTTTCGAAGCATGAGTACTACGGAGCCAACCTTCAGGCGTAAATTGTGCGGTGGTAAGCCAGGCACATCCAAGGAGTTTAAAAATTCAATTGGATAGTTGTTAGCTGCATCTTCATTTGTTACACACTCGACTATTACCGACTATTACTCGACAATTACCGATAGTTTGGTTAAGTGCTTTTATTGCACGTTTGTGCGCCATTGTGCATTCGTTCCATACGATGATTTTCGATGCTGATAAAACTTTGGCCATTGCGGAGTTTTTTTAAATATTACATGTTGGTTTTTCAATAGTTTGAAGATTTAACAGCAATTTTAATGCTGAATCAGCCGTCCGGCATCCTTCTAACAGTGTGGCTGTTATTCCAGAAGAAGTAACTACAAGCGCAATGTTGGATCTCGCACGAACAGTAGCTAAAACTAATGACATCAGGAATGTCTTACCAGTTCCACCAGGGGCATCCAGGAAATATAAACCACCATTTCCCTCATCAATTGCCTTCATTAATTATTCATTAACCATTGACAAAATTATGTTTAGCTGTCATTTCCCTTTTTTTGTTATTCCATGTCAGATGCGTTTTCGCTATACCACCTTTTTTAGGGAATTCTTGGTGACTCCACGGAAACGCTGTCGAACGGGATAAAAATTATCCCATGTCCCTCTCCTTGTTCTAAGCTACCGAGTAGACTCGGCCCCGATTGAGCCAGACAGACATCCGGAGCGAGACAGACAGCCAGGCATCCAACCATGGCGTGGTGTACCAGTGACGAACAGTGACGTCACCAGCCAGGCTTACAACTAAATTGTCACGCGAGACAGGTTGTCAAGCATCCAATAGAGCGGCGAACCATTGTCACGCGCAGAGCGTGCATCATAGTGGCGGGAGATTTGATCTGTGGAATAATTCAGAATAAACGGGTAGGTAATACGTTATAAAAAAAGTTTTGTTGATGAGTTGAACGCGGGACGTTTGGTATCGTACCTAAGGTACCTGGTCAATTATGATCACCTGAAGCATATTACCTCACATCTACATCAATAATAATTATTTCTCGGTTTTTAAAAAAAACAAGTTTAATAATGGTGATCTATTCAAATCCAGTTGGTCATTATCATTAATATGTTTGAATTTTCAAGTTTTTCAATTTTCATTGCTTCCAAATGATTCACTTTATTTTCTATGTGCAAATTTTCGAACTCTTCGATAAAGATATGTTTTTCTCCTAGAAGATGATTTGAATATGTTGAATTTGTTTTCTTATTTACATAGGTCGTATGATGTTCCTGGATTCAATTCCTAAATGTTCTGCCAGTTTGACCAATATATACCTTAGGGCACGTTCCACACTTGAAATTATATACTACTGATTTCTCAAATTTGAATGTTTTGTCTTTATTATTTTTAACTAACTTTCCCAACGTATTACTTGTTCTATATGCAATTTTAATATCTCCTTTCCTCAAAAATGAAGCCACTTTTTCTGTTGGTTGTCTAAAATACGTTAAAACTCTATAATTTTGATTATCTACCTTATCAATAGGAAATCAGGAAAATATAAATTAAAGTGTGGAACGTGCGCTAAGGTATATATATTGGTCAAACTGGCAAAACATTCAGGAATCGAATCCAGGAACATCATACGAGCTATGTAAATAAGAAAACAAATTCAACATATTCAAATCATCTTCTAGAAGAAAATCATATCTTCAACGAAGAGTTCAAAATTCTGTACATAGAAAACAAAGGTTTGAAACTGAATCATTTGGAAGCAAAGAAAATCAATAAACTTAAAAATTCAAACATTCTAATGAATGACCAACTGGATTTGAATAGATCACCATTATTGAACTTGTTTTCTTAAAACCCCAGAAAGAATTATTATTGATGTAAATGTGAGGCAATGTGCTTCAGGTGATCATAATTGAACAGGTACCTTAGGTAGAGGTTTAGGTAATTTTTTTGGGGTAGTCTCAATTATGGTTATCTATAGTATATAAATATTAGTGTGACTGATGAAATGAAAACCGAATCGGAGAAAGATCTCAAGGACATATCAAAAATGCATATCAGAACTGCTCAGAAGATAGGAGAAAGTGTAAATTTTCTAAGGCACTAAGGGAGAAATTGATGAGTAAATATACATTTTTTTGAAAAACGAAAATTCACCCTACTTTTTGGACAGACAGCGTATTGTTGACAATTGCAGATAGCTGGAGCTAAAATTATCAGACAATTTACCAGCAATATATGCACTATAAAGATGCACTGCCATGCATCTTTAATTTAGATGCTCGGTTCATCCTGTCGACAGACTCTACAGAGTTTCGACTATGGAGACGTGGCGTTGATAATTTCCATGTTTTTGAAGTTACAAATTTCATTTCATTCATTCTTCTCAACTGAACTGTCCACTCAACTCTCTGCAACACACATTGACAGCTGAGGGTGTATAAATATTCAGAAAATACAATTTGAGTTCGCTCATCTAGCATCGCTAATTTTACAAAAAATGTTGGCGAACCGCATTGCAGAGATGAATATAGTCTCGCAGCATATTTATCAAAATCTTCCAGTGAACAGAAATACAAAAGTGGGAAGATGAACCGCTTTCACTGGATCGCTAGATCCAGAGTACTCTTTCTTTTTCATTGCAAAAATACCTGAAATGAATGAAAAGATACAATATTTTTGAAATATGAATTGTTATATCATTTGATTATATTTCTGAAAAGTAGGTGTAATAAAATGAGAGTATTTACACGTTGCGATAGATCTTACAAACTTGAATAGGGATGTCTTACGATCTAGACAATGTTAGGTAATCCCTTCAGAAGTTCTCGAAACGGAATATCTTCTCAATCAAAAATAACTATATAGATTACTTCAACTTACGAACGAAAGCTAGAAGAAGTAAGAATGTACATTAAAACGGAGATAAATAAGTAGTGGTTTAAGTGTGCGTCATTGATATTGGTTTTACCCTCAGATAAGTTTGTAGTATTATATTGAATTTACTTCGGAGTATTTATCTTGATGAAGAACTTGATGATCATTTCAAAGAGGAAGATATCTCCCTGATATATGAGCGTTCTCACTTTTACCGCTTCATATACCAAACAATTCGTCTAAATTACCGGCATGTCCCATTTTTCAATCGTTCGGTAAAAACGCCGTAAGTAGTCGAAATCGATGTCCACATTTGTATAAATAGTAGGTACAAGTTTTTCTGTCAGATTACCTCCTCACAAAGATTAATATTTTAACCATTTCAAGATCTTCGAATCTACCATCTTTAACTGACGGCATTTGGCGAAAATCCACTTAGTACTTAGTCATATCAAATAACCTCCTAAAAATTCAGCATGGGGTTGCTGTCTTCAAAAAATACCGCAACATTCCAGTCATATTTTCATTAATGATACATAATTACTATTATTTCAATATATTTTCTTAAACTTCTGAAATTGTCTTTTTCGTGGCATGGAAATTTCATATTCATATTTTATCGGTTAGCGTATATTGTTGACTGGTATTTTTGGAAGTAAATATTTTTATGATCATATTCAATGGATCCAAAGAGCTATTGGATTCAGAATACATTCTACAATTATCGTGTAGCTTGTCCCAACATCTTTCCTTTTTCGTTTCAATTTCCCTAAAAAAAATCTAAAATCAAGTGCTTGATTTCATTCAGATATACGTGAGTATCATGGGCAAATACGTTCATAAATCATGTATCAATAATCAATATACATTTTTCGAGTTTTTGTCATCTTTGTGACAATTTTAATGATCTAAGTTGAATGTATTAATACTTTCAAAGTGAGATTTTTTGAATATTTCATAGAAAACCTTCTTTCTCAGATTATAAACAGATGAGTTCGTATATTTCTTCATAGTTGTTTCTGGGTGAATCGTTTTCATATTCATATATTCACAATATTCATATTGTGTGTATTGATGAATCCATGAAGGTTGTTGAATTTTTTCACATATTATCATTGTCTCCCAAAAATGGGTTATTTTCGTCCCAGCAGTATTCGAAATAAAGATCATTCATCAGGTGAAATATAATCCAGTTTCAGTAATTATTTTTTCACCGAAGTCTAACAAAGAGCGATGGAAAAAATGTACTCTTCAAAAATTGCTCAGTAGTTTTCAAAACGTTTATCGAAGTTATTTCAGCTATTTGGACCATCGCCCTCAAGAAACATTTTCAGTTCGTACCTAGTTCATAGTTGGTTTCCCAAAACCGTCATAGATATACCAATAAATAACACATTAATTGGTGTGAAAATTAACTTCCCACATACAGAGTTGTACTTATCACACCACCCCCGTAACTGTCATAACGTCGCCCAATGCAAATCTGAGCTGGGATACTAAATGCGCGTATTTTCATAAAAAAGCGATTCGCGTAACGACCCACGCAAAGTTTCGGCTTCAACTGGAGTTGCTGATGAAATTTCGTGGAATAAAGCGCTCCCTAACGGGAAAATCTCTTCGTGAAATTGGTTCAGCGCAGCATCATAAACAGCATACCGCCCTACGTGTACGAGATGTCGACTAATTTTTAACTTTTGTTGCGGTACATATTCGCACCACTTCGCAAATTCGTTGTTACTGTTAGTGTCACATTACATAACACAGGTTTTGTATAAAACTGTCATGGCAACACGGCGACACCGGGTACGGCGTTAAATTTTTTTTGTCGTTTACACGGCCTCTAATAAAAAAGTTGGTGGTTACAATAATTACGAATATCCAATATATCCAATATGTATTTATGCATCTATTTCTTTTTTGTCCCCTCCAAAGTAGTCCATCTCAGATATGGTAGACATCAATCGTCACAAAGCACCTTTATACCATGAGCCACCAATTTTGGAAACAGGAAAAAGTCGCTGGGGGCTAAATCTGGTGAATACGGTGGCTGATTACTGTGTTCATTTTGGTAAAACTTACGAACGTGCAATAAGAACCTTTTTAAACATTTTAAAATATTGACCCTCATATCTGTCTATATTTATGAATTATCCGTCTTCATTTTTGAAAATAGACAAAAATTCGTTTTGACGGGAGATTTTCACTCCGTAAATATACGCCAATGAAAAAATTACCACATTCCGTTCACAAAATATAAGGTTGTCGACAATGCTCCTACAATAATGGGTCTGTATTTATTTTTATGTTGACTTTTACATATATACAGTGTCACTATTAAAGTGCGCACCATATGGGAAACTTTTTTTTCGAAAAGTTTCAATGAAGTTTAACTTCAGCCCTTTTTTGTGCTTTAAATTTAATTTAAAATGATGCGGCCAACTGCGACCCACTGACGTTCAGTGTTTGTCAAATTCAATTTTTTTTTTGAAAAAAATTGAAAAAGTGCATTTCTAGATCGAATTTAACAAAAAGTTACTTGAAAAAGTGGTGTCTACGGCAATTTTATATCCATATGCCAAATTTTATGCAACTAGGATAAAGTTAACGTTTTGCTTATTTTTGACAGATATCCCCTTTATTTTAAAAAACAAGTTCGGTTAATTGTCATCAATTCATGTATACATAACAAACTCATCATGGAGTTTAACTTTTCTGATAAATTTTTACTTATACGGACATTTTTAGAGACCTTGTGGCAAGAATTCCTGGAGAACTCCTGAAAATAGTGAGCAAATTGGACTTTGGTTTCAAAGTCATAACCATATACCTATGATTCGTCACCAGTTATGACTTTTTAAGTAGATCTGGATCGGCGTTGATGCCATTCAATAATTCTTGAGCGATGCTCGTGCGACGGTTTTTTTTGTTCAAAATTACATAGCATGAGACAACCGATATGGCGACATCCTCTGCAACTTCTTGGATAGTTATTCGACGATTCTCCATAAATATTTTCTTCACTTTCTCAAAATTTTCATCGGTTATTGATGTGCTAAGGAATCCAGAACAAGTATCCTCTTTCACATCTCCTCGAAGTTCTGCTTGTAACATTTGTAAACGTTTTTCTGACTCAGAATACAGTCACCTTATGCCACTGTCAACATTCTCAAGTGTTTCTGAGCAATCAATTCAATTATTTACGCGGAATTTGATGCAAATTAATTGATCCATTTTTTAGATAGTAGAAAATCGCCGAAAACGCAAAATACTTTAACTTTTATGCGTCTCTCCAACAACTATATATGCTACACAGCTTGAACTGTGAACATATACTCGAGATGAGTGTACCAACATAAAAAAATCGCTTATCGAATTTGAACATTCAGTACATTTTTTGAACCGTCCACGTATAATGCGGACGTTAATAGTCCCCCTTTCTTAACTTTCGAACGGACCTTCATGATGTACGTTCTTCCAAATATTTCAAGTCCAAACAAAAGAGTTGAATCGAATTCCGATTAGAAACAACATAATTTCAGTTAATCACCTATAATTAGAACAATACAATAATATTTCATTCAACTGTTATCATGAAGTATTTGTGTAAGATTATTTTGCCATATAGGATACTTAGTTGGTCTGATCGGATCTGAAAAGAAAAATATGTTTAACAAAGAAATACAAACTAATCTCAATTGAATACATTTGAAAGTCAAGTTTTAGAAAATAAACAGTTGATAGAATTTGGTGACCTTTAAAAAATTTTATTGAACATTTTATTTCCTCAAATTGATGGATGTAGCCGTTACTACGTGGTAGGAAATCATAAAGGAAAGAGAAATGAAAATTTCTGTGTTTTTTACCACTTTTAATGCAATACAATACAATATCCTCATTCCTCAAAATGATCACTTCACAATGATACAGGAGTCGTCAATGGTGAAAAACATGAAATATATATAAGCATTAGTACAAAATACATAAATTTAACACATGAGAGTGCTTGTTTAAAATGAACAATTAAAAGTGTTTATTCATGTACATAATAGCTGAAATAGGTAATGCCGCAATGATATTAATTGTTGATTGGCGAATGTGGATATTCCAAATATTCATTAATATTGTAGAAACAACCATCTACAAGATAGTCTCTGATTCTCCTTTTGATTACTAAAATTGATGCTACACTTTTTAGGCCGGAAGGTAGACAATTGAAAAATTTGGAACCTGCTAGAGATGGCGTCTTTTCCAATAATTTTGTACAATGTTGTTGTAGTTTGAATGAATTCCCGTTCTTTGTTGAGTAATTATAACATTGGGAGTTAGTTTCTGATTCGAGTTCACGTTTTTTCACAAAAAGCAGACAGTTATAAATATAGAGAGAAGGTACTGTCAGTATCTTCCTTTGCTTGAAAACAGGTCTACTTGAATCAGTATGACGTAGATTGTGAAGCATACGAATTATTCGTTTCTGAGCAACAAAGACCCTATTAATATTTTTTGCATCTCCCCATTAGACCACATTATAAGATAGAACAGAATTAACAAGAGCATAGTAAACATCTAACAGTTGTTCTTCATTCAGTATTTTTTTAAGCTGCATTAAGGAATAGAAACTGCTATTAAGTCTTTTACTCACGTAGTCAACTTGAACTTGCCAATTCAATGAGTGGTCGATGTGAACTCCTAAAAACTTTGTGGATTCTGAAGGATATTTATTCGTGTTATTTATAATAACATGTATGGGATGTTCCACAGATTTTCTTGGAGAAAACTGTACCAATACTGTTTTTTCTGCATTAACCATGAGTATATTTCTTTGACACCACTTTGAGAAATTTTAACTTATTACATTCAATTTTTCTTGAAGTTCCAAAGGACTGTCGGTTTCTGCGGAAATAGAAGTATCATCGTCAAAAGAACTATCGAAGTAGTGCCGATATGTTGTGGAACTCCAACTTCCAAGTCATGAGTACTCGAGTTCACATTATCCCATTCTACGTACATCTTTCGAAATTTCATGTAAGACATAATCCAAGATAGAAATTTACCTCGAACTTGTAACTCATCGTATAAGTTTGCAAATGTCAGTATAGGACGAAACTGCAGTAACATTAGTGACAAATAAAAGTGGTAAAAAACATAGAAATTTTCATTTCCCTTTTCATTTTATTTCCTCTATTACCATCTGAAGTGAATTCAAAATTCCCCCCATATGTTTTTAATATATAGCAATCCTGATCTGAACAATACGTGTACTATCTATGATTTCATTTCGGTGAGGGGCCTATTCTATGCCATTTATAATAATATCATAATAATACGTTTACTTTTTATTTTAGGTTGTTTCAAAAGTGGTGTCGTTTGAGTCTACTACAAACTAATATCTCAGTGAATACTTATTCAATTTGATCGAAATGACCTCCTTTTGAATCAGTGCACATTTGTCGACGTTATGCAAGTCGAATAATCTCGTCAGCACAGCATAAAATTGGGTGCTCGTGATTCGATGGAGTCGGCAAATGCCGTTGTTACCCGGTCCTGATTGGCGAAGTTTCTACCAGTGGAAAAAAAAGTCCTTGAGAAGCTGGTATTTGGTTGGTGGTGATGATGGTGTGCTGTGATGGTCTGACCCGGTTTCAGAAAGTTATAGTGAATCACACCAGCTGCTAACCATCATACAGTAATCATGATCTTCTCTTGGTGGGTTTTCGCTTTTGGCTCATCGCTATCCAACCATTGTCCAAAAAGGATCGTTTTGGTTGCCCAAAAGCAAAAAAGAACAGACTTCAAAACGTAATAGTTTCTGTCGTTCGTTCGAATCGTGGGGCTTCCACCATCAAGAACCGCATGGGATGTGACACCCAGTTCTTCCCCCATCACACGCTCTGCCAAATGCTTGGCTAATTTTTCGGACTGTTTCCGCAGGACTTTGGTTCAATTTGAATTCGTAGAGAATATCGCTTATGGACCTCATATAGTATTAATAATAATAATTGTCTCAATTGTTTCCCAGCTGTAGTTACATACAAATATATAGATAAATTACAGAGCTAGTTGCTGATATAACAAAAGGGAAAGTTCAACTCAGCACAATTGCTACTCAGTTGTTCTTCCACTCCACCTCAAAAATATTGTACCTTAGCTAAGACAAACGGAAAGTAATACATAAAAAAAATTGGGATTGTTCAAATTTCTATTAAGATGCTGAAGAAGACGTCCATTACTGAGATTGATTCTGGTCTAATAATGATGAAAAATGTATAGGATTGGGCAGTTTATATTTAAAGTTGGCTTTCGAATAGAAAGAGTTGGAATTTCTTCCGTAAAACAGAAAGTTCCTAATTTCTTATTTCTTTTGGTAACAGGTTGATCACTTGGCATATATTATAGCTGAAAGATCGCTTTAAAAATTCAGTTTTACAACTAGGTGGGGTAAGAGTACCCTCAAATCTGATGTTCAGATTGTGAACATCAATACGAAAAATGATTTTTCTGTACAGATAAGGCGGCGTTTTGGTTTGAATAATTTTTTTATATAAATAGCAGCATTTAATATCCGTCTATTTTCCATTGTGATCCACCCCGTATCCTGTAACTTATGGGATATTCTTTTGATATTTCCTAATTCCGTGAATGAGCCGTAGACACGAGTTTTGTACTTTCTGTATTTTCTGAGCATAATTACTGTTTGGTTAAACATAGACCATATAAAGTATCCGAGTAGTTGAAGCGCGATAAAACCAGTGCATCACAGAGAGTTGTTTTCGTCTGTTTCGTGAGTACGTGTCTGTGTCTATAAATAAGTTTCAACGGAGAATATGCAAGTTGTATTTGTTGTTTATATGTTTCTCAAGTCAGAGTCGATTATAACTCCAAGATTTTTGCATTCATTTGTGGGTTGTAAAGAAACATTAACAATCGTGATTGTAAGCTGCTGAAAAGAGGCAATAGACAATTTGAATTTTGAAAAATAATCAACAGCGTCAATGTATACACTACAAAATTATCTATCGATCATTAGGTATACACCACGACACAGTAGAATTAACATTCATTGAAATATAAAGGAACAAAAATAAATTGCATTAAAATTCACAAAACTTTTCAAACTTAATACCAATGTATAAACTGATTCAGAGTAATTTTTCAATAACAAAGACGTCTACTGAAATTAGACTCTGCAACCAGTTCGTCAACAGTCATCTTAAAAAGGTATTTTTTTTAACTACAAAACACAATCACTACAGAAAAATCGTTAAGGCGCACTGAGGGCGGTGCCTGTGCAAAAAAACGATTCACATTGGATTTGAATCGCTGGATATTAAATCCATTTGTAAAAACGTTCGCAGGAAGTATATTCCACATAATCGCAGTTCTCCAAATGGAAGAATTTTTAAACAGTGAAGTTCGAGGTGTACTGAGCTGAACCTCAAAACGATGAGCAGTCACAGTCCGTCGCCAAATATGCCAAGTCATTTGAAAACATTCCGTGAAAGTATCTACAGAAAAGAGACAAATCCCCAACCTTCCTTCGATGTTCCAGATTATCGAAGTTGCAAGTGAGGTTTGCGTCTCCAATCAGGCGGATGGTTCTTTTCTGGAGGGAATCCAGCAGCTTCGGGGTATCTTTCGGGGCGGAGCTCCATACTTGAGAACAATACTCCAAAGATGGTCTGATCTGAAATTTATAAAGCATCAGAAGTTGTTGAGGTGTGAAAATTTTTCTTGTTCGGAATAGTGTTCCAAACTTTTGAGAGGCAGCCTTTGCAAATCCAGCGGCATGATTGTTCCAAGGCATATTGGTTTCCATTCTAACCCCCAACAACCTTATCGAAGCAGAAAGTGGAATTGTCTGTCCTGGCATTTCAATATCCGGTTCGGAAACATTTATTTTTTTGAAGAAAACCGATGCCTGGGTTTTTGTGGGAATGAATTCAACCTGGCTAGTTTCACCCCAATTTGAAATCACTTCTAGATCCTAATTAAGATAAGCAAGCCCCTGCTGCCGGTGAAGATGTGCCTCCGTTGTCGTTGTCCTGGAATCCAAATGGAACGACTAGACAAGTGTGCTGTCGTCAGCAAAGCAATATATTGGATGCTTCGATCAATAATAAGAGGGTTGGACACAATATGGATCCCTGGGGAACACCAGCGTTGATGGAAAAGTATTCGATAGTTGATATCCTTCGACGGCCACTTGCAGAAAGCGTTCTTTCAGGACGCTGGGGAGCCGTAGCATTAAAGTTTGGCCAGCAAACCCTCATGCCACACACAGTCAAAGGACTGAGAAATATCAAGCGCAACAGCTCTTGACTCACGATGTTTCTTGATTGCGTTATTGCGATTNAGTGCATCACAGAGAGTTGTTTTCGTCTGTTTCGTGAGTACGTGTCTGTGTCTATAAATAAGTTTCAACGGAGAATATGCAAGTTGTATTTGTTGTTTATATGTTTCTCAAGTCAGAGTCGATTATAACTCCAAGATTTTTGCATTCATTTGTGGGTTGTAAAGAAACATTAACAATCGTGATTGTAAGCTGCTGAAAAGAGGCAATAGACAATTTGAATTTTGAAAAATAATCAACAGCGTCAATGTATACACTACAAAATTATCTATCGATCATTAGGTATACACCACGACACAGTA